CGCGTCCTCCCCCCCCCCCCCGGCCATTCCCATATTAATTTTCTTTGTTCCTTCTTTTTACAATCGAGCCCATTGTCATGCATCGGCCGACAGCACTGCGTGCGCTGCATTGCTTTTTTCCCCCGCCTCTGTTTCGGAATATGTGACATTTTTGTGGCGCGTTTACCGTTAAACGACACGCCATGAGTATACGCGTCTCGCGCGCGCTAGATTCGTCATGCGATTTTTTTTTTTTTTTTTTTTCATTCAACCAGCATTGCTACTTTTTCAAAAGTACGAAAAACAATGCTCGAGTGTTTCCCCATTGATTGAGAGGCTTGGGTGTGTATACTCGGTTTCTCACGAATGGTCCCGAAAATTTTGCGCGAGGTCAATGACACTCCGTACAATTTGCATGACGCTACTTATAGTAATAGACTAAAGTAAATATATACATATACAAAGTACAAATGAATATGATACAAATTCATTAAGAAATTATACGAAATGTGAAAAATAAACGAGTGAGCGCGACTTAAGGGCTACGGGTATGGGTGAGACTTTGCTGTGATCTCCACGAATATTTTTATATTTTTTTTTTTTTTNTTTTTTTTTTTTTTTTTTTTTTTTTTTTTTTTTTTTTTTTTTTTTCTATATCATATTTATAAATCGGAGACCTTGATAAAACTGAAAGCATAAAAAATCAAAGTATTAGTAAAATCGGTGGCAGTGCTCGTGAGCCGTGCACTTGTAAAGATATGATGTATATTTAACGTATCGATTGTGGACCCAGTCGGTATTGGGTGTTTACGAATCGTTACAAGTACTTGGCACACGAGCACTAAACTCAAATACTATTGTTAAAGTTTCATGGTGGCTGCGTACACAAACAAAAATTATTACCACAAAGCTCGGTTAATTTTTTTTTTTTTTTTTAAACATTCAGCAGTTGTGAACTATTGTTATTTTATTTGTAATTATAATGAGTATGTCAAAAATTATAAGGTATTCCCGAAATATACCCCGAGACAACTTTTTTTTTTTTTTTTTTTTTTTCACAGTTACGCAAAAAGAAAAAAATTGAAGCAAAACACAAATCCACCACAAAACGAGCTATTCTATTCGTTATTATTTTAAGAGTTAAGATGTGACTTCAAACTTCATATAGGCTATACGTGAGTAAGCCCACGTAAATGTATTAGGGATGCATAAACAAAAAGAGACTAGACTAACAGAACTATTCCTGGACGACACATATTTGTATACTAAGGAGGTCGGGACACGAATGCGACCACAATACCACACATTTTTTTAAATCCCGAAGAATGGATCTTTATTTTTTACACAAACTTGCAAGGAGCATTGAAACAGGAAAAAAAAAAAAAAAAGAATTAAAAATTCTTCGCAAGCGGTTTAGTTTTAAAAAAATTGAAAAAAAGAGCGAAGGAAAAAATCTCCGGCTTTGCTGTAGCGATAAAAAAAAAAAAAGACTCGCTATTTATTTTTATGATTTCTTTTCCGCTATTGTTTTGCATTGTGTGGTATGTATCATATACAGGAAAAGCTTGGGAGATATACAAAACAGAGTACAAGAAGCAAAAGCGCATGAATGTGAACAGAGGGAGAAGGAATGTCTGGAAGCAGAAATCAATATTTTGGCTTTTTTTTCGAGAGATCCGTATTTCATGTGATGTCTATCGTATATAATATGTTTTTGTAACTCCGATGGCACGTATCATGAGTTTACCGTATGAAAATAATACGCTAACCTTAATTTTTACGAATTTACATTTAAATTGAAGCATAAAATGGGGGAATTCTGTTTTAAGTAGATGTTTATCGCGAGTTAAATGAACATTTATTTCTCATTGGAGTGTCGGTATATATTATGTACTCGTTTGGAGCAATGTGGTTATTCACTACAGTGATGTATGTTGATAGAAATTTTTTGAAACAATTGACGATCTCTTGGAACTTAAAATGCGGAAAAAAATTAGTTCGTGGTTAAAAGAAAATTTTGGAAAAAATTGAGGAGAAGAAGAAGCAATAAGAAATGTGAAAAAAAAAAAAAAAAAAAAAAACTATTGTACCTAATGAAAACAGTGTAAAAAATTGATAAGAAAAGCAAGCTGCATATTTTACGTAAATATGCATGTGAAAGGGAGTAAAACGCACATAAAGATAAATATGGACATACGCGTGTTCATGTTCTTTTGAATAGTGTGTGCGCAAGTATTGAACGAGATTGAAAATGTAGTGCATGTAGGTACCATGTAGTTTTTTTTCACGAATCCGGATCACTATTTGATAAAATTTTCCTGAATCGAGTAACAATATTTTCAAGCATGTTAATTATCGCTTAGGATTGAAGAGGAGAGGAATAAAACAGTTTTACACGATGCTCGCGTACACACGTGGGGAGGGAAGAGAAATACTCGCGTATCGCTTGTGACGTGTCGTGTTTTTACTTAAAAGTGGACGAGAAGACGCTAACATTGGAGGGAAGAAAAAAAAACAGACGACGCGATCGTGGGAGCGACTCGTAACCAAAATGAAAACGTAAACACGTAAACGTGATTGCACTATTGCGACACTCGTCCGATCACGTATACGTACATAATATATACTTAGGTATTATATTATTGCACAGGTCAGGACGCGGACGTGCAAAATGCCCGACACCCATATTCCGACCCGCAATTTCGCGGAGAGGTTATCGATTATACGTCCCGGGCAAACGTGCTCCACAACACTCGTACCCGCGGGCAGATATCACGCGGCGGTGAGAAAACTCGCGCATTTTTCGAAATACCGCCATGATAACAATAATCATAATAGTTTAATTAATTGCTTTGCCGTGACGGTTATTCACTCGCGCCAGCGATGACACGATTCGATAAACACACGTGCTTTTTACCAGATAGTTCATTCTCTCGCGAGTGTAAAAATTGTCATCGGCTGTACCATTTTAGCATCACCCGCGATACGAGCACCCTCATTTTTTTTTTTTCCTTTTTTTTTTAAATACACGCACGACCCCCTACCGAGTCGTTACAACACCGGCTGGAAATGGAATCAATCGAGCGTCGGTGGTTCGGGCTCGCGTCAGCGTGGAAAAGGAAGTTTCCGCAATATTGACCGGGCGCGTATACCAACACAAACACGAGACCGGCGACTCAATTAGTTGGGCCAACGTGGACGGGCCGAAACTACCGGCGTGTAAAACGCGGCCTCCCATAACTGGACTAACCATCGATTGCACTTCGTGTTTAGAAAAGGAGGAGGGGTCAAACAAGTCCCTCTCCTTCGTTCGTGCCCCGCGGGGCGGGCGTATAAGTTGTGATGATGGGCGGCTACGGGGGAGGGGGTGTAATGTACAGAGTGCAAAGTTACAGTGTATTGGGTTTCCGGAGGACGATCAATCGAGCCACTCTGCCGAAAACTCGATACACCCCCCAGCCACGTGCGGTAATTTTATATTCCGTGATCACGTATACCTATACCTTTTTTTTTTTTTTTTTCCTCCTCTCCCGCTTGTCTATGGCGAGGCTCTTTTTTTACTCCTCCCTGGCGAGTTTTACGTCAGTTTTAACGAGGTTTCGTTTTTTTCGGTGCGACACCCACCGGTACCGTGAATCTGATCTAGTTTTACGAGGTGTGTGTGTGTTTTTTTTTTCCCCACCAACCCGAGATGGGTACCTATAGGTGATGGGATTTAAAATCTGTGGCCAACGTGTTATAATTAACAAGCTTTGACGTGTGCGTGTTTTTTTATTGTAGACCTAAAAAGTTGAAAAGCTCGGGTGCAGCCTTTGCCATGTGTGACTATGGGACACAGGAGTGAGACACTAAGTATGGTATAGTGATGTGTCTGGTGTACCGTGAATAATGAGAATATACACGTGTATACCTACTCACACGCAGGTGCAGTGAACCGGAGGATATTGTAAAACGTAAATACCTCCGATATGCATGGCTAAGTATCACATACTCATTTGAAGTATAATGTAGGGGTGGCAAAACGAGAACAGGTTGAAAAAAAAAAGCAGAAAAAGAAAATCCAAATAAATCAAACATGCACAACTCAAGTATAGGGGGTTAGAAGGGGGCCGGCCGAGGTCCGTCCATCGGATACTCGTACGGGGTTGACTTTAAAGTGGAGAAAAAGCCGTCAAAAACGCGTTGTAATTATTGTAAAGATCAACTGAGCGGAAAACTAGAGAAATAGATGAGTAGTTTTTTTTTATTTTTTTTTTTGTCAACGACTCCAAGTTTGAGATTCTCGAAGATGTTTTGTTTGAAAAATTTGTGTTACAGCACAAAAAAGCACGGGCAATTTTTTTTTTTTTTTTTAATTTCAAAACACAAAAGAAAAAAAAACAAAACACGGTAGAATACACAAAACAGTGATGTAAGTGTACACAATTATTATCGGAAAAAAATAGTGATTATATATAATAGCCTGAGTGATTGGCGATGGTAAATGGGAGTGGCATCAAACCAAAGATTAATTTCAACTCCACTGGTGATTAATGCTCAAATAAAAAAAAAAAAAAAAAAAAAAAAAAAAAAAAAAAAAAAAAAAAACTTAATTGTTACAAAACACGCCATTGCAGAGAAAGAAAAAGGAAACTTATACTTTATTGTTGTTAAAAACAAAAAAATAATAACTCTAAATTGCAATGAAATAATGATCATTTGTTTTGCTTTTTTTTTGTTTTATATTACATAGAAAAACGTTTGCATGTGTGTGTAGCTACTGAATAGTTTGCAATAATCAATAAAAATAGATACTAACCACAAAAAATAGAGGTGCTAACAACACACGACTCACAAGGAATACAAAATCGAAGTGTGTCACAGAGCGGTTGCACATATAAAATTTTGTTCATCTCTCTCTTTCTCCTCAATTGCTAAAATTATCATTTTGTTTATTTTTTTTAATCACTGCCAGTTTTTTTTTCAAACTTTTTTTTTTTTTTTTTTGCTTTTGCGCCAAGTAAGTCATCAAGCGGACTTACCATTCTTTTTTTGGACAACGACTTTGGCTGCAACTTTAACCGTAGTAGGAGGTGTTCGGTAGAACAAGACGAAGTTTTGCGAGTGGTGGTAGTAGAAGTAGTAGAAGGTAGTAGTAGAGCATAGTGTCGTGCCAAGATAGGAGGAGTCCAAGGCCAGTGTGATTGATAACAAATATAATAGAGAAGGAGTACGATAAACGACAGTCGGTGCATAGTTTTTTTTTTTTTTTTTTTTTTTTTTTAAGGATTTTTAACGCTTTTGCTTTCCCTCTTGTTTACTCATTTCACTGTTGCTACTGTTAATGTATACCTACACATGGTTCTTACTTTGTTGATCTAGTTAACGGCTCGTTTTTTTTTTCGTTTGTTCTCTTTTTTTCAACTTTTTTGGGGCCACATACAATAATTAGTCTCTTTTTCTCTCCCAAGTGGAACTCCACCTTCGATTGTGTGTATAATCAGCGAGATGTCGGGTGGTATTTCGAGTACTCCGATCTTTTTTTTTGCCCTCGAGTGGTCGTCTCCGCGTTAAGCCATCAAAATATAAAATGAATTAAGTCGTTGTTCTTGAAGCATCGGAGTGTATAAGGAGGTACCCTTAATGGCCCGCTACACGAGAGCCAAAGGATTATCATAAAAAGGCCATTCGAGAGGGGCCTGTTGATCGAGCCCGAGTCCAGGCTTGGCTCTGCAAAGTGGCGAGCTCGACGTAATGAGCCCAGCACGCGAATCACGCCACCGATGCTCCTTACACCGGCTCGCGCACAAATCAATTTGCAATAATTCCTTTGGGCCATCGTTTGCGCGTACGTGGGTTTTCGAGCTGATTATTCGATTGGCCGATGATTCAAGTGCCACACTTTGCATGTCCGAGTCTTACCAAAGCAACGGAATGCGATGTGAATTGAAAAACTCCGTCTAACGTGTATATTTTCATAAATAAATTTTTAGCTCCACTTTAATCAGTAGCAAATTATTTTTAAAATTCACTCGAGAACCATGTAAAATCAGAGTACTCGAAAATTTTGATAATTATAATGTGTTTGTTTAAAATAAATTATTTTCTCGCCTAAAATGATTCTTCAAAAATGTCCGAACAAATAAAAGGTCATGAAGAGGAAACGTAAGGGTCGTCAAATGATAATTGTGAGCAGGAGCTGAGAAAATTTTTTTCCATCCATATTATGAAGAAAAAAATTAACAAAATAAAAAAGAACAAAATCCGTGATCACGTATACCTATAC